AGCTTGCAAACCTCCATCTCTTGGCTCATAATAAATCACTCAAACCATGACACTGATTTCACAGCAAACTCCAATCTTCTACCCTACCCTCCACTCCCCTTCCGGGACATTGATAGAAATAGGTGTTTTACAATAAGTCACGATTAAAATAAGAAGCTAAGATTATATTTTACACATTTAAAGGCAAATAAATTTGGTTTGAAAAATGGGTTTGAGTCCAACTTTTCAAAATGCATTTTATTTCATGTTATTTTTAAAATCTCATTTCTGACTTAAAAAAAAAAAAAAAAATGTCAAACGGAAATACGTTTGGTTTAAATTAAATATGAGTTCATCAATGGGAGTATCTCAATTGTTAGAATTAAATAATTACCACTGTGCGAAAAGTTATAATGGGTAGTAAAAGTGTTTCTTAATTTTCTTATATTTGCGATGCTAAACTTGACCCTCCAAAGCTCTCCCAATATACATGATGTCATCCTCTTAGCTTCATACAATAGGCAAAAATGTATTTTTCAAATTAGTTTTGTCTAAAAATATCTCAATTTCTGTATGGAACTATTGAAAAATGTCTACTTCACTTTCTACTATGCAAGTTGTTGGGCAGGGGCCGGTAAAGGGCCACGTTCATCTATTGGTGGTTAGGGGGATTGTTAGGCGGAGGCCAACGAATGACCAAGTCCAGCACCCTACCTTTCGAAAATGTGATGATGGTGTATAAGGAAATAAAGTAGCGACTTCGCTACTAGCTATAGTTTTTGGCGTAATGGTAAGCACTTAATCCTAAAAAGTGGTATCAAAGCAAAGTCACATGAGGTGCTGGGAGGGGGAATTGTTGAGTGGAGATCAGTAAAGGGTCAAGTTCATCAATTGATGACTAAGGGGATTGTTGGGCGGAAGTCGGTGAATGGCCAAGTCTAGCACCATGCCTCTCAAAACTGTGATGGCAGCCTATAAGAAAATAAAATTCTGCCCAACCCTTGCATATAGGAGTCAGCGTCACATTCCAATAAGGGTACAACTGTCAGGCTCACATTGCATGTTGTCATCCTCAACTTCTCAACATCTACGCATTTCTTATACTTGCATAGCAGTTCAGTCATCACCATGTTTTGATGGCAGGATATTAGATTCGACTCTCCATATAGTTACCCATCATACTATTAGTTATAAATTTTGGTATAATGATAAACACTTATATTTATAATTATCTTGTTCACTTTATTTGATCTGAGATGCAGACCGGACATGTGCATGAAAGGTTAGAGGATGGAGAAAACTAGTTTTGTTGCGCCGCTTGCCATCGCTGTCGTTGCAGGCTTCATGGCCTGCATTCATCACATCTACACCATATGTATGTGTATATATATAATTTAGCTTCATCATCCCTTTCCTCTCCTTTTCAAGCTTTACTTTTCAGGTCGCTCCAAGCCTCGAAAGGGTGCTTTGGACCATCCATTAACCACTCTCTTTCTCTCTCTATCCATCCATCTATAATATTATCCAAATATAATGCTAGCATAGCATATATGTATGCTCACAAATAGGCCTAGCTAGCTAGAATCTTCATGAATTCCATCAAGTTGATAGGAAGGATAACTCATTATTGGCTAAAATATCAATTTAGTCATCAAGTTGATAGGAAGGATAACTCATTTTTTGTTAAAATATCAATTTAGCCATTGTTCCGATGGGAGGTCTGAATGGTCAAATTTAACATTTTGTCCCTCAAAATGTAGCCATGCTTGATATTACATAAGTATAAAGAAATAACATTACTTTCTCGTCCCATTTTATTTGTCAACGAGACTTAATATAATTGAAGCTATTTTTTATTTAATTTTTTAAAATATTAAGTTTAGTATTTGATAGGGATTATTCCCGACGGTATCATACTGTAAACATGCTTAGTATAAGACGTACCACCGAGTAGAGCCATCGCCGAGCATTATCGACCTTAGAGTGCGTTGACCCGACCCCGTTCACAAGACCGAGTAAAGGTGCGCTCGGCATGGAGCAATGCCGGGCTCTTATCATTTCACCCCGACCATATTAGGTCGGGACCAACCACCTGACCTACACTACTTAGAGCCTTAGGCTATGCTCATTCAGTGAAACCCAGTAATAGTGGGTCCGAAAGAGTCCAAGAGTTTCGAGGCACGTGGAGGGATAAGCGAAGCCTCAGACCTTCCCATGTGCATGCGTTTCACGTGCCACACATGCTGAGAGACTGGCATGTGTTCCCTCACACCTCCTACAAATACTGAATTAAATGCGTGAAAGGGGACTTTGGACACTTCTAGTTTAGTCTTATTTAGCTTAGAACCCTCTAACCTCACGCCATTACCCGGGCTTATGACTTAAACTAGACTAGAGAAGAATCCACCCGCGATTTGACATTAGTACTTGTACAGTTGTACATATTCATGGGAACCACGTATTTACCACATCAGTATTAGTATATAAAATTTATATATATTTAGAAATTACATTAAAAGTACTATTAAACACAAAAAATCAAATTTAAAAATAATTAAAAATTACTAACGAAAATAAGCAATGAAGATGATGAGTTTGTTTGACCAATAAATAGTAAATAGACAGACAAAATGAGACAGACGGAGTACATTTTTATTACTAGATATGACTTTTGGAGTATTAGTAAGTGCTTGAGCCTAGATCCATGAGAATTGGTATCAGAACCAATCTATCCAAATAGTTGAAATATAGAAAATATAGGTGTGAAGTTGACAAAAAAAAAAAAAAGACAATATAATATTGATCCCCTAATAATAATATAGGTGTTACATTTGACTCATAGCTCTTATCCGAAAGTATACATAGAGATAAATCGCATTAAAAATACATTCAAATACGTATTATGTGTGACGAATTCGATTAAAATAGTGTTGGTAAAAATTAAACATATGATCTTTTAGGACGAAAATGATATTGATTTTAATATTAGTGCTTAATTAAAGCACTTGAACAAATTAACAACGTGGCTAGACATTATAGATTTATATTTTATAGTATCATATACTTCTTATTAGTCTACACTATTGTCACTTAACAACTGAACAAGCACTTAAACTAGTACTTGCAAATTAATTAAAGTTTAATTTTCGATCCTTCCCATGAATACTTTAACAAATTAAATGCGGTGGGCGATGTGAATCTAACCCGATTTGTTGTTTCATTCGACGACATTTTTGTTTTATTTTTACATGGAGATTTGATGGGTTGAGTTTGAAATGTGGCGCGAACAGTTACATAAGTATATGAAAATAAAGTTACGATTTTACTAATAGCTATATCGTTTGGCATAATGGTAAATTTTTTATCCTGACAATGAGTATATGAAGTTATAGTTAGTAATGAAAATGTAATTTTATTTCTTTATACTTACGTAGCAGTCAAACATCATATTTTAATGAGATGATGTTGGACTTGCCCAACAATAGTTTAACTATTATTAGTTATTACTAGTAGTAACACTACGTAGAACAAGGACCACAACATGCATGAAATTACAAAGTTATTTTCCTTAAACATTTTAGATGATTTACCAAATGGGCTAGCTAGCTTAAGTAATTAAGGGAAAGAGAATGTAAAATATTCCTTTGTAAATATTTAAATGTGCTGTTTTGATCGTATATTTTAATTGCAATCAAAAGGTTAAGCTAGTATTCAACAAAAAAAAAAAAAAAAAAAAAAAAAAAAGGTTAATCTACATTATCGGGTGGAAGCTAGCTTGGAAGACCAAGTCTAGTACCATGTCATCAAAACATGGCGCTAACTGTTAAACAAGTATAATAAAATTGAGTCTTCGCTATTAGCTATAACTTTTGGCATAATAGTAAGGACTAAATCTGACCATTGATTTCAAAGCAAGTCACATGTTCAAATCTGGCTAACATGTTGTGCAATTGAGGCTAGCGAGTTCAATCACAAACAGTTATTGTTGGGCGAACATTTAAAGAGTTGAGTCTAGCATCCTACCATATATCAAAATGTGACACAATAAAGTTACGCATTTGTTACTAGTTATAACTTTTAGTGTAGTGGTAAAGTTTGATGATCCTGAGTTAGTTATAAGTATTAATTTAATTTAAAGAAGCCTATAGTGCCAACCAAAATCAAATATACACACGTACAATTTTTTTGCTACACGGGATACTATCAATAAACGTACCAATAATATCCCGTACAATTATATATATTATATCAAATTAAATCCGACATTATTAATACCAATACTGATCAGTACCGTAAAAAAAAAATTCATTAGTCTATATATATGTACTATATTATATATTTATGTATTATTTTAATGGAGTATGTCAAACTAAGAGAGGGGATTGGGGAAATGCACAGTTGCTAGGTTAAATGTGCAAGAGTGCATACAAAAAAGAAACAGTGCACATGCACACTCTTCAAAGCAAATGCTGAGATAGTAGTTCAAACCTTGAAGACTATATTGAATGATTTTTGAGAAAAATTAAAAATATTATTGTATATACTAACAAGCTATTATAACAATGCAGAATTTTCAGTCTCTCTTGGCCTTTGGGGGGAGACAACCAACTGCTATACATATGTGTAGTATCTGACTTTGTTCTTGGCCTTTCTTCTTACCTATACATACATTTTTTTCTTTCCCCTCTGCAGCCTTTAATCCCACAGGTCGTGGTGTTGGTGGTAGTGGTGGTGAATTGCTCTATCAGCTATACATACATACACCCTCTGAAATAGCCTCGAAATGTGGAGTCGATTTCAATAATTGAATAGTGTACAGTATGACAGTTACGTGTCGGTAATACAATAAAGTTAAATGAAATTCTTGACCTACAGTGTCCGACAGAATTCTAATTTTTCGCTTTCACTTCGCTATCATGGGCATTTAACCTACCCTACCTTAACCCACTCCCCGAAACTTTCTTTTTAGAACTTCCCCCCTACCACTATTCTCTTATATACTTTACTTTACACATTATTGCTGATTCATATATGCTAATTATGAAGAGAATATGGAGTTGAGGGAAACTCTCGAACGACTCGAAGAGTGTAGAAAAACTTGAATTTTTCACTTTCAGTTTGACGAAAACCCACCATTAAACCATCCCGCTCGATCCACTCCACCACCACTACCCATCTCCCTCCCCAAACTTCTTTTTAGTTCCATCAATGTATAGCCCTAATAGAAAGAATTGAGAGAGGGAGAAAGATTGTTTTTTTTTTGGTTTCAAGAATGACAGAACCCTACCACAATTTCTTCAATGGATGGCTCAATTTCAGCCCTCTCCATCAATATGAACAAGAAATCTCAACAATTTCTTCCTCCCCACACCTGCAACCCTCCAATAACACATTGTACTACTACCACCACCACCACCACAATACGGCGGCACCACCACCACCACCGCCACCGCCGCCAAGAGAACCCCGCCCTATCCTCCCCAACCTAAACCTCAGGGAAGAAGAAGAAGGAGGAGGAGGAGAAGAAGAGGTGGAAGAAGATGAAGAGGAGACTACCAATACTGAAACCTCACCCCCACCATGCAATGCAGAAACCAGCAAGAAGTCATCATCCTCCATTAAAGAGGAGAGTCTGAGGAGCTTCTCCGCGAGTAGCACTGATGAAGAAGATGTGAGCGTTGCCCTACATATTGGCCTCCCATCTTCTTCATCTTCTTCTTCTTCAATCAGACATGGCAGCACCTCTGATTTCACCACTTATGCTGCGGCAGCTTCTTCTGCTAGTGCCGATAATGTCCTCTCAGGTTTGCCATTGAACAGACTCAACAATGGACAGTATTGGATCCCCACCCCTTCCCAGATTCTCATTGGCCCTACCCAGTTCTCTTGCCATCTTTGCTTCAAAACCTTCAACAGATACAACAATCTCCAGGTATTCTTAATTGCTTCAATCCTCCAACCCCTCAATTTTTCTTCCCATTTCTAATTTTTTGTCTCCAACCATTTTGGGAAAGACAAAATCTAAAATTTGTTAGAATTTCATAAGTATTAACAAACAATTTATTCCTGATTAGTATTATATTTTCCAGCATAAGTATTATATTTCCATCTTGACCCGACCCGTATTAAGGGAGACTTATCCATGGAGAAAAGGGTATGTGAGAATTGAACCCAGAAACTAAGATATGATGATTTGGGAACTCAATGCAATCAATTTCTTAGTCCATTTGGTTGATAATATATAAGTTTAGTTCACTTAGAACTTGAAAATTCACTTACCCTTTTGTTTAATGTGAATCTTTAAGGTAGATAGCTGCAACTAGGTATTTTATACCTCATTCCTCAAATAAAGACCCAAAAAAGAATCATTTTGGAGATTTCTTGCACGAGAACGATGTTAATCTGATCTTCTTTGTATTGTTTCAATTTTTGTAAGATAATGTCTCACTATTGATGACTCTCACCCGGTCACAGAATATTGATGGTTTATTACCATGATATATATGCACAAGTAAGCACAATATTTAGCCATCAAAAGATTAGTCATTGTTAACAGGAAAGCACACATTTTTCCAAGAATTGAACTCCAATGATGTTTGGCTTTCCTCCTAAAACCCCAAAAGAAGTTAGCAATCAAACTGGTTTTAATTTCAAGATTCCTCAATTTTAAATCTCTGCAAGCATTTTATGATGTTTTCTGGTCTGTTAAGTTATCATGTGTTTATCATACACATTGGCTATTAGCCTTTTTGGGAAGGGTAGGGGGCAAGATAGGTTTCTAAATTTCGAATTTTGTGCATGTTTTTAATCTCTCAAAGTATTATTGAATGTAAAAGTGAACAAATTTTCCAGCATTGAACTGACAAAACTCCAGACAAAAGCAAAAAAAGAAAGTGGAATAGTGTTACTTCCAGGAGAATCAGGCCAGATGATATTTTTCATCCCTTCAGAGTCCAGTGTCAGTTAAAACATCATTCAATATGTCTGTCTAGCAGCCTACTTTAATACAAAAACTTCGATTTAATAAAAAAAATTCCACATTTCATACCTAAATATGCGAGATAATAAATTCGCCTAAATTATTTATAGTTGATCTTCTCAAATTGATAAAGTTAATATAGGCACCTCCCACAAAATGTCGAACTTGAAACCTTGTGATTTCTCAAGCAACTGCTAATTAGCCTAATTTAATACTGAGACTTTGAACTATATACGGAGTATTATATTAAATACTTTTTAATAAATCCAAATTAGCTTATAAGTATATACTTGTGTTGTCAATTAGCTATTAGGAAAATGGTATCTCTTTTAAAATGTTCTATTGTTATGTTAGCACTCTAAGTATACTTTGATACAAAGTAAAAGTAGTATTCTTTATTGATTAGAAAATGGAAAAAGATATGTGTACTCTTATAGAGTAAACTTTTTTGTGATTTTATTTTAAAGTTGTGGCTTACTCTTTTTTCTAGATGAATCAGAACATATCACTTAAGTATGAAGTAAAAAATGGAGCATAAATTAAGAATACATACGTGCAATATTAATTACTTTTAGAAAATAGACATTTTTTTCAATGTAGATTGTCACTGGTACTTATAGTATCAGGTACAATTATATATACTATTTTTTATTGTATCATATATTATTAGGACTATGTACAAAGTACATTGCACCACATTGATATTACCCATATTAGGGGTGTAAATGAGTTGTTTGGATACAATTCTACGGGTATTCCAATTTGATTCAATTATTTTTGTACCGATCTTGATCTCAAATAGTTTGAGTAATGAATTCAGTTCAAGTCAAACTTGAGCATTCAGTTTGCATAGCTCACAAGCCTGGCCAATTGAGTTTATATATATATATATATATATATATATATATATATACTATTATAAATGTATTTACTCCCTAATATATGTATATCTTATAAAATGACCATAATCAAGATATAATATTGAATTTTGTGATGATATTTAGTTATAAAATTATATTATTATTGTTGTGGTTATTAGTATTATATAAGAAGTACAAAATTTGAGATTGCTCAAATCAAACTCAAAATATTATTAGAGTTCAATCAGCTCCGACTTTAATTTGCTTTAAGTTTAAACTGGGTCAAAGCTTTGACTGTTCATGGCGGCTTAGTTTGGATTGGTTACACATACACCTATTGCTACAAGCCTACAACCAAGTATATTACATATGATTATATCTAAAGTTGGTAGATTATTCCCGGCATTTGGCCATGTTGCGTCATTGAGTCACTGTGATTTATATCTTTCCAAATACTCTGACGGGTTAAGGTGTGGGGCCTTGGGGTTGAGAATTCAACCTTTTACGAGGAGAATATATCACATATGATTATATCTTACCATTATACCTTATTATACTATTGACACGGAGACAAATGAGAGATGATTGGAAAATAATGTTATATCTAAATAATTTAACGATACTGAATAATAATCTATCAGAAACCTGACCTTGTAGTAGCAAAAACAGAAGCAGTATGTTGATCTCCCGCCATAGTTGACATCTTGTGTGTTGCCTCTTGAACGGGTTAACCATTTTGTGTTCCATACTTAACTCAGAACCACATATGGTGTATTGGTGTCTACTGAGCAGTATGAGTACCATAACTGAATGTGCTATATATATATATATATATATATATATATATATATATATATATATATATATAATGCATGTTTAAGTATAGTTTGTTTGCATTCACCAACAAATTAATGCAGATGCATATGTGGGGGCATGGATCACAATACAGAAAAGGCCCAGAATCACTAAGAGGAACCCAGCCAACCGCCATGCTAAGGCTGCCGTGTTTCTGCTGCGCCCCGGGCTGCAAGCACAACATCGACCACCCCAGCGCCCGCCCATTGAAGGACTTCAGAACTCTCCAAACCCACTACAAGCGGAAGCACGGAGCCAAGCCCTTCATGTGCCGGAAATGCGGCAAGCCCTTCGCCGTCAAGGGCGACTGGCGCACCCACGAGAAGAACTGCGGCAAGATCTGGTTCTGCGTCTGCGGCTCCGACTTCAAGCACAAGAGGTCCCTCAAGGACCACGTCAAGGCCTTCGGCCACGGCCACGCCCACGCCGCCCTGCCGGACGACGCGCCGCCCAACCACCTCGCCGGGGAAGAGGATAATGAATCCACGTCCGACGTGGAGCAAGACTACTACGTGTACACAGGGGATTTTTAATTTATTTCTTGAATGCATGCATATACATACATATATATATATATATATATATATATATATATATATATATGCATGCATGGTTTCGATCTCATCAGCGTTTATAGTAATCAAGGGTTTTGTATCTTCCGATCCCTCTGCAGTTAATTGGCTAGCTTCTTTAATTTCCGATTACTACAGGTTTTCTGTTGGTCGGAAAATGCCAGATTTTTAGCGGTGGTGGTGGCATGGGCTAGAACTTGGAAGAAGCTAGCTAGCAATTAAAGGTGTAACTTGTCAAGGATTGCATGATTATATATATATATATATATATATATGATGCCCTAAAGCTATTTGAAATTGGTGTTGAGAAGGTTTAAAGTTTAAACTTTGCCCAAATTTTATGTGTAATTTCCTATATATGGTTATCCAACCAAAACCTTTGTAATTAATAGAATCTAATAATCACAATTTATTATTTTAAAAAATTGTTGTCATTGATTTAATTAATATTCTTTATTCCTTTCCAGATGATGACCAAAAAAATTCACAATAATTATCTAAGGGTATGATGCATTGGAGTAAACCCCGCTTGTAATAGTCCGTAAATTACACTTGGTCACCCATTTCAATATATAATGTTGCGAAATAATGTATTCATATAAGTATCATTTAATATAAACTTCCGATGCACGAACAAACCAACTTGTAAGGGTGCGCTATATTAAATACGGAATATAACTTTTAGCTAAACCTTTTCTTCTGGAGTAAGAATCAAACTCCACGGGAACAAGTTGGGTGTTACAATCCTACTTTATATGCAAAGGTAGGCATTCATAGTGTGATGAGTGAATTAGGGTTCTCACCAACGGCAGTTTGAGAGCAACCTCTCAAATTGAGGGAGTTTCTTGTGCGCAATAAGCAAAGGTCTAGCCTCTGTGGTTTATGTTCAGTTGAGTTACCATGATTTACATCCTTCCAAATGCTCCGTCGAGACAGAGTGTGGGAGACCCTTAGGGTTGGGGTTCAACCTTTTGGAAAGAATGAGTAAATTAGGGTTTGCAATGGATCGGTCAATTGCAAGAAGAGAATGAAGTTTAGTGTGTAAGTTAATTAATGATAGTTCAAGGCAGAACTTTTGTGTATATTTATTTATATGTTATAAATGAATGAGTTTGAACAAAATTTTAATGCTCGTTGAGTAAACAAGTGATGAGGTGCTAGTGGGACATGAAGGCCCTACATGTATATAGATAGAGAGTATAATTGAATTTTTTTATTTTTGCACAAAAATCCATCGTCCAATTTGAGAGAGGTTTATGATTGGTTGATAGCCCGCCTTAGACTAGATTCTTATAGAAGATATTATTAGTATCCTCGAAATATAGATTTTTTTTAATGGGATTTTCCATTACACCGAATTTATTTTTATTAAAAAAAAAAAAAAAAAAAAAAAAAAAAAAGGGCCTTTGTCCCTTTTGTTTGGCTTGTCCGCTAATTTGCTTGTATACGTTCATTAGAGCATCCCTGAGAGTTATTTCTGAGTATTTAATTTAGGCCAAAATGTTGACATGGAAGAGGGGGGGAGGGGATCAAACCATTTAGGTTTCCTCTTAAAGAAGCTTGTTTAAATCCTCTTGTAATATTTATCAGTGTTGTAAAAATCACGCATAGGCAGTCGGCCTCTTAGGCGTCTTAGGCGCCCGCCTAGGCGCTCTAGGCGGTCCCTAGGCGCCTAGAGGGTGCCTAGCGATTTTTTCAACATTGAAATTTATAGCTAATTATTTATGCTATTACAATTTTATAAAGGGAAAATGGCAGTTTTAGTCGATTAGTTATATTTAAATTGTAGACTCAGTCCATGAACTATTACCCTATACAAATCTTTCCTTTTAATTATGTTGAAAGTGACATTTTCAATCAATTACTTGTAGATCTTGTTACCATTATTAACAACTAATAATTCACCCGCGCGATGCACGAAAAAAATTATGTTATTATAAATATAAATAAAAAAACTAAAATATTTTAAATTATTTAATACAATAATATTTTTGAGCTTGCTTCCATTGGTCAAGTATTTATTATTTTTATAGAATACAAAATTATAATTAAAATTAAAATTAAAATTAAATTTTTATATGGTTAATATAATCTCTAATTATGTGCATATTCAAATAAACTTATAGAGATAATTTACATAATTACATTGATTTATTCTTAATTGTATTTCATCTATATTATAATTTTCACAATACAAATAATAACTAAGATAATTACATTTGGAAAGCAAATTTTAAATTTTGTATGTGTAAATTTAAACTCTAATTGAACACATTTTTTATATGATTATATAATATATAACTATTTTATTTTTCAAAAGTATATTTTTTATATAATTATATAATATATAGCTATTTTATTTTTTAAATGTTGTGCTTTTTTTTTTTTATATAATAAAGGATGTTGTGGCATTAATTGTAACATTAATTATTTCTCAAACCATATAGCTTTATTATATAAAGGATTTATTTTGAATTTTCAAATTATTAAAGGAGACATTGGTTATTTTGTAAAATTTTCTCAAATTTCCTCCCCCCATGAACCTTCATATATACTCGACTCTTACGGCAAAACCATTTTTTTTTTTTTGGGTACATTTGAAGCCCTCAAAAGAGAGCATTATCTAACCCTTATGTAGGGTGTATTACGAGCGTCGGCATTAAGAAGATCGTTTAGCTCAGCTGGGACCAATGTTGAAAAAATCGTTAGGCGCTTGGGGACCGCTTAGGGCGCCTAGGAGGTCGACCGCCTAGGCACGATTTTTGCAACACTGGCTGGGGCATTGTCCAGAAAGAGCATTCCCCAATCAATATTCTGACCCAAATTCGCCAGCCACTCTGCGCACTTATTTCCCTCTCACTCAATGTGAGTGACCTGGAGATTCCTAAACTTTTTTGTCAGGTCTAAGCAATCTTTAACCAAAGTCACAACAGTGCATCCCCCATTCGCAAAACTATTTCTAAATACTTGTTTGTTTTGATTGAGGAGGAATCTGAGAAACAAAAATGACAAGTATGAGATTACTTATGATTAAAGATACATCAATTATTAGCCAGTACACCCTCAAGAAGATTTAGTGCAATCTCCAACATTTGTTTTTAGTCAGGCACCTCAAAAAATGATACTAACAAAAAAACAGCAAATCATTCTAAATTTAATAAGCAAAAATGCAAAATAATTGAAAGTATGTGTCATATATTTAGATAATAAACATTGTTTTTTGCATGTTAAATCATGTAACTCAGGTTATCATTTTATTGTTTTGGTGTCTATTAAACTATTTGCAAATTAGATTGTACTTTGTGCATCACATGGATATTTTTAGTTGTTTTTGTGTCTGTTAAACAAGTGCAACTTATACTATTATTTGTGTAACGTATGATATTATTTTGCAGTAAAGGTAGCATATATATAAAGATTCATGGAGGGAATTTGAGAAAATTTTACAAAATAATCAATATGTCATTTAATAATTTAAAAATTCAAAATAAATTAATAATATTAACAAAATCTATAAATAATGGATTGGAGCTGTCACTTTCAACATAATTAAAAGTGAAAATTTGTATACAATTTTAGTATAATTATGGACTAAACTCGTCATTTTTCGTTTTATAAATTATTATTTAAAAGTATTCTCTCGACTACTTCATTATTTCTACTTTTAATTATCGATTAAAAAAGATATTTTTAGTCGTCCTAAATGTCTTCAAATATAGTATGATGCAATTTTGTAATCCTTTCAGATACAAATTAAGGGCACATTTAACAAAAATAAAACATTTTTTTAAAGTTGAAAACTAAAAATAAAATATATCAAAATTATAATCAAAATAAAAAATGTTATTATAGTTTATGAACTAAAAGTGAAATAAATTCTTATAATTTTAAATTTTGAAATAAAATTATATCTATTTTCTATATATATAAAAATCATTTGTCTTGAAATAGTTACACCACACGTTTCAAAATTATATTGGTTTGATCTTTAGTATGCATATCAACAATTATTGGTTATTAACTTCTAAAGGGGTGACCGAGTAGGTGGATCATAATTCTCGTATTAGAAAATTATGAGTTTGATTCACCACCTTAATTGAACTTGTTTTTGCTAATATAATATTTACCTGGTTATTATACAAGAGCGAATTTATTTTTTTTTCCTCCACCCAACCAGTGTGAAGAGTTGTGAGGTAAAAATATTTTTTATTTTATTTTATATTTCTTAGCATTTTTCACCTTAAAAATGATTATAGTTTTTATATATTGTTATTTCTACTTTTGGGCTTAGTCTCCAATCAATATGAACAAATAATTATGGGGTATCTCCTTTCACCTTTTCCTTTTCATGGGAAGCCCAAACCCCACTAATTCAATAGTTATGCTGTGCAACCGATGAACCGAATGTACCATGCACATGATGCATACGATGCAAAACGATGTCGTTTTGACTAAAAACACGCGTCTCACTTAAAAAAAAAATCAGGTTTGATTCTCGGCAATAGCATTATTGTGGATATATAGTTATGAATTTCTGGATATATAGTTATAAATTTGTGGATATATAGTTATGAATTTATGGATATTTAGTTCATTCATTGTGGATATTTAGTTCATTCATTGTAGATATTTACTTCATTCATTCACTGTGAATATATAGTTATGAATTTATGGATATATAGTTATGAATTTCTGGATATATAGTTATGAATTTATGGATATTTAGTTCATTCATTGTGGATATTTAGTTCAATCATTGTGGATATTTAGTTCATTCATTCATTCATTGTGGACTTTTACTTCATTCATTCATTGTGAATTTTTACTTCATTCATTCACTGTGGATATATAGTTATGAATTTGTGGATATATAGTTATGAATTTCTGGATATATAAAAATGCTATTGCCGGGAATCGAACCTGATTTCTTCTTTAAGTGGGACGCGCGTTTTTTTAACCAAAACGGCACCGTTTTGCAACCGTATGCACCTTGCAAGGTGCATTCGGTTGCACAGCATAATTTGCGCCACTAATTGATAAATTATTGTGTGAACTATGGTCTATATAGTTTTGTGGGTCATGAATAGAATATACATTGTTAATATACTAAAAGTATATTATTTACCAGGACTATGTGGTCTAATGGTACCCGGGTTGGACTTACACTTGGAAGGTTGTGAGTTCGAGCCTCAGTGGAGGCGTTACTAGCTCTTTGTGTTTTAGTAGGTTGAGAAAGTATATGAACAGATACTACAATGTAATAGAGCTAGTAGCATTCAAAAAAAAATTATGTATTTTCACATAATATACTTTATGTATACAAATAATGTACTTTTAGTATATTAAAAATGTATTTTTATGTATATTTCGTGCAAATGTGTGGACCATGGCCCATGGAATAATGATTGTGGCTTATTGCCAATCGTTATATCCTACACCACGGCGCACATAGCACTGTGCGCCGCGCACCTCCCAAAACGACGTCGTTTTGGGGTAGTGTTGGGAGGCGCGGTAGGAAGTTGCTGAGACTATGTGTATTTGTTCACAACGTTATGTGTATTTGTTCACAACGTTATGTGTATTGGTTCATACAGTTATGTGTATTTTTTATACAATTATGTACATTCTTTTTATACAATTATGTACATCCGAATCAGAAAATTTGTGTGTATTATGTTAAGAGTTGATGTGTATTATGTTAAAAGTTTATGTTTATTATGTATTATGTTAGATTATGTGTATTATCTTTTAAAAAGAGTATGTATATTTTGTTATATAATTATGTACATTCATGTATAACATTATGTGTATTCTAGTATAACATTATGTACATTCTTGAACATCGGGTTTTTTAAAAAAAAAAAAAAACTACTGCCATTCACTGGGGCGGAAAATTTAAAAAAAAAAAAAGGGAAAAGGGTCAAATAGACCCTTAAACTATAGGCAAAAGAGCAATTAGGCCCTTCAACTTTGACAAGGTGCAATTAGGCCCTTCAACTTGTTATTTTGAGTCAAATAAACCCAATAGCAGGTTTTTCACCTGGAATAACCGGTTAAAAAATTCCGACGAAATTCCCGACCTTGTTTCCGGCGACCAAAAAAAAAAAAAAACTTGCCGGAGAAGACAACCGTTCGGTTGTCTTCTCCGGTGGAGAAGGCGACCAGATCAGGTCGCCTTCTCCACTTGAGAGGGCGGCCAGATCTGGTCGTCCTCTCCACAGTCCTCTCCCTTGGAAAGGAGTGGAGAGGACGACCAGATCTGGCCGCCTTCTCCAGTGGAGAAGGCGACCGGACTGGTCGTCCTCTCCACTGGAGAGGGCGGCCAGATCTGGTCGCCTTCTCCACCGGAGAAGACAACCGACGGTTGTCTTCTCCGGCAAGTTGTTTTTTTTTTTTTTTTTTTTTTTTTAAAATTTGTTGTCGCCGGAAATATGGTCGGAAATATCGCCGGAATTTCTTGACCGATTATTCCAGGTGAAAAGCCTGCTATTGGGTTTATTTGACTCAAAACAACAAGTTGAAGTGCCTAATTGCACCTTTTCAAAGTTGAAGGGCCTAATTGCTCTTTTACCTATAGTTTAAGGGTCTATTTGACTCTTTTCCCAAAAAAAAAATAATTAAAACGACGTCGTTTTGCATCTGGACGCATAGTGCAACGCGCGCCGTGGTGTAGGATATAAATTGCCGCTTATTGCAAGTAATTTGTGAGTTATTCAAATTTGATTTATGTATTGTAAAGTTGTAAACAAAGTTTAAACCCAAATAATTTGAATAACGAATTAAGCTAAATTTAAACATATTAATACTCGATTTAAATAGTTTGCAAGGCTATTTTATATAAAAAGCAGGTATTATTCTAGTTCCAAAATGAGGTTCCACTCGTTTACACCTGGTCACCTGTATCATATTCCTAGCGAATAAGGGTCAAATAGGTCATTCAACTGCACACTAATTTGTAATTAGGCCATTGAACTAAAAAAGAATGCAATTTAACCATTGAACAATACAAAAACATGTAATTTAGCCCAAAATGACTTGTTTACATGATGTTACAAGTTACCAATTTTAAAATTAATTTTTTAAAATAATTTTTAGTAAATAAATAATTAAAATATTAAAAAAAAAAAAAAAAAAAAACAGAAACTGCCCGCCGGAGACAAATTGTCCCCGGCCGGCTTCGTCTCCATGGCTATGGAGACGAAGATCTTTGTCTCCAGCCATGGAGATGAAGGTTCGTCTCCATGGGATGGAGACAAAGCTGGCCGGAGACGATTCGTCTCCGGGCGGCAGTTTCTGTTTTTTTTTTTTTTATATATATATTTTAATTATTTATTTATTAAAAATTATTTAAAAAAATTAATTTTAAAATCGATAACTTGCTACATCAAGTAAACAAGTCATTTGGGCTAAATTGTATATTTTTGTGTTGTTTAATGCCTCAATTGCATTCTTTTTTAGTTCAATGGCCTAATTACAATTTAGTGCGTAGATGAGTGGCCTATTTGACCCTTATTCCTATTCCTAATTAAGACACTTTAATGAATTGGATTTAATTTAATTAAAAATGAAGGCAATTTATCCATGACTTGATATTTTCTATTGAGTTTTTGACTATAAGAAAAAAAAGTGAAAAGAATGGGAAACTTTTAAAAGTTGTATAAAATAGAGAAAAATTTGTTTCCGACTTGAGTCGCCATTTGTGCCTATGTATCGTATCTCTACCGTTGCGTTTCTCGTATTATCCAAAAAATGCAATTGCCACTTGCGTTTCTTGTTGATCACCCTTTTTTTTTTTTTTTTTTTTTTTTTGAAATTTTAAGAAACTCGACTTACGTTTCTGTCAAGAAATTCAAATCACAAACAAGTTTTTTCTTATTTTGTACAACTTTTAAAAGCTTCCCATTCTTGTTATTTTTTTCTTGAAAGTTGACCATTTCAGTCAAAAAAAAAAAAAAAAAAAAAAAAAAAAAACTATCCTCTATTCTTCTTGCAGCCAAATGAGCTTTCCCTATATTTTTGTTGACCCAAACTGAGTCGTTGGAATGTGACAATATGAACAAACACTAGCTTAATTAGACACAATATAGTGATCACAGAGACTTTATTAGCCAAAATTACACAAATTTATCAAACACCTTCAACAATAATCCTTAAGGATCATCATCATCATCGTCATACATTCATTAATCTCTGCTAATTGACCTCTGTACAAGCAAAAAAATTCTCACCCAACTGTTTTGAAAGACTGGTGAATGTGCCTCAACGTGTCTTGATCGCGGTTCCATTCCGGCAACGGAGCGTTCACGAAATGCGCATACAACTTGTTCTTCGCACAAGTAACGGAGATCAAGCTATGCGCGGCGGCCCCATCAATCTCGTACTCATAGTACACCTGCCCCTTCTCGTCTTTCCTCTCCTCCGATTTCACGCCGTCGGCGCTAGCGATGAGGTCCTGCAGCTCCACGTCTGACAGCGCCAGGTTGTTCAGCACGGCGTCTTTCGGCGCCAGCTGCCGGAACCCGGCGAGGAAGGTCAGGTACTCTTTCTCCTTCTTCTTCTTCGGGTTGTAGAACTCGGAGTCGGTGCCGTTGGTCCCTTTCTCCACTTTGGACACCAGCCGCTCCTTCCACCCGTCCGGCACGTCGTAGATGTACTCCGCCGTGGCTTTCTTGTCGGAATTCCCTCCGTATCCGCCGTAATTGGCGGCGCTGGCGGCGGTTCCGTAGTACACGGAGAAGGCCGGGGATTCCGCTAGGGAAGGCGGCGCGGCGGTCAGTATCGCCGTGGCTAACGCCGTCGCGGTTATCGCGGTTGTTATGTTCGCTAGTGGCGGTTTGGACGGCGGCGGTATCGACACCTGAGGCGACTTGGCTTGCTGCTGCTGCTGCGGCGGCGGTTTCGCGGTGGCGCCGGAGAACACGGCGGAGGGAGAGAAAATGGTCGCCATGGGATCTGTACTGCAATCTCAGATTAATGGATGTGGCTAATTTGTTATCCATTTCAGATTTTCAGTTATCTATTTTGGCTAATCTCACTGTGACCCAAAACTCTTTTAAATTCCGAAATCGCCCCATTTTTTACTAATCACACTGTGACCCATAACTCTTTTAAATCCCGAAACCACCCCAACATTTTAACATCTTTTCTAAAAGTGGCAAGCGATTATTAACTCACGATTGAGACCCATTGTGACCTCAGCAGTGGAACCGCCAGAAGCCTCTGATACGCGCACCTCTCACCTGCACGTTTCTAGTTGTTTTTCTGTGAGCGAGAGGTACACAGCGGTGCGAAGGCTATTTCACTGCTCGTTGAAAAAGGCCAGAATATTCATTATTAATCCCCCAGCGCAAATTATTTGCAGGCTCCGATTCTTCGCCGGAGATCGAAGCCATGTCGAAAAGGTAGGCGGTTTCCGTTTTGAATTTTTGCGATTGAAATATCGGCGAAGATTTTCGAATTTGAATGTGTGTGTGGATTAATTTCTCTAATTGTATATTGAGCTAGCTGATTGTTAAGGTTTAATTTCTTATATGCGCTGCCATCGAAGAGGAATTTGGGAGATGCTGTGGTAATTGAGGTGGGGGGATTTTTAGGTTTTTAGGTTTTTAGGTCGTGGATGTGTGCTTTTCTGGATTTTCCTTATTTTGTTCTTATGTGAAAAGGTGCAAAATGGATTCTCTTCATATGATTGATGGATTTTGAGCTGTTTATAATTCGTGCAGGGTGCTTTGCAAGTTTTTTGCTCATGGGGCCTGTCTGAAAGGGGAGCATTGTGAGTTTTCGCATGATTGGAAAGCCCCTCCTAACAATGTAACATTCTTGACTATATGCTTTGGTAATCAAGGCATTGATGAATTTTGTCAATATATGATTGTTAGTAATTAGCTTCGTTCCAGAACTGCATGATGTGCACTTGGTGTAAGCTTTTGGAACTGTTAGTAATTGGATTAATTGTTACAGATATGCACCTACTACCAAAAAGGGATTTGTGCTTACGGAAGCAGGTGCAGATATGAGCATGTTAAGGTTTCGCGATTGCAGTCTTCTGCACCATCTTCTTCCATACCTTCTCATCAGAATTTACTCTCGAGCTCGGGTTCTTTGACTGTTGCTTCTGCAACTGTAGTGAATGGTTCAGGTCCTGTTCCAAGTATCGCCACAGAGCATTTTGTTTTGGAGGGACTTATTCACACTCCCGACACACCAGCATGGGAGCAAAAGTCAGGACCTCATGACTTGTTAGAGATTGATGATATAGTGGAGTTGAATAGTCTGAATCCAGCCGATCAACCAATCTGCTCTTTTGCTGCTGCCGGTAGTTGTCCGCGTGGGGATAATTGTCCTTATATACATGGAGATGTATGTCCCACCTGTGGTAAACATTGCTTGCATCCTTTTAGGCCTCAGGAGAGGGAGGAGCATATGAAAACATGTGAGAAAAGGCAAAATCATCTCGAAGCATTAAAACATAGTCAAGAAATAGAGTGCAGTGTGTGTCTCGAGCGTGTTCTCTCAAAGCCAACAGCAGCTGAACGTAAATTTGGAATCTTGTCAGAGTGTGATCATCCATTCTGCATATCATGCATCAGGAATTGGCGTAGTAGTTCACCAACATCTGGACTGGATGTAAATTCTGCATTGAGGGCGTGCCCTATATGCCGAAAGCTTTCATATTTCGTCATTCCTAGTGTGATTTGGTACTGCTCAAAAGAAGAAAAAAATGAAATCGTTGACAACTATAAAGCAAAACTTAGGTATCTCTTTTTCTAAAACTTAATTTGTTATTATTATTGTTGTTGTTATTATTATTTGTGTGTGTCTTTGTTTCTTTAAGGAGAGGGGTAGGATGTGGGCTTCTGGGTTCCCTGGTATTGCCTGCCAAACTCATTCTCTGATTAGGATCATTTTTATGGGATGCATTATCATATGCATTGATCTTCACTTTACATCAAGTTTGAGAATTATGAGCTTGATGATGACTTGTCAATTGTCATCATTGTTGTTTCATTGAATTGTAGAAGGAGACAATTCTCCTATTGGATCCTTCATTGCTTGTGTGTGAGGCTGACATTTATGCTTAGTGGCCACATGACCTCAATGTGATTTCTACAAGTAAACTGATATTTTTTTGATCACATGAAAACTTTTCAGATATGAGATTTTGAATGGATTAATAAGTTTATATGAGTTGCAATTGTGAATTATGTGGTAGAAAGAGAAAGTAGGTACCCCCTCCTCCACTTCTTGACACAGCAAAAGGCCCCATAATGTGCTCTTTCTATGCTCTCTTTCCAGCTTTAATCAGTGATCTTGTTGTATGTTATATTTTCTTATCTCTAATTCGTTTCTTTTCCAGTTCTATTGATTGCAAGCACTTTGACTTTGGGAATGGAACTTGCCCATTCGGGACTAGTTGTTTCTACAAGGTATGAAATGTTAAGATTCTCACTGGTTTTTGTTAATACATTTAATATTTGTTTGTGTTTTGGCATAAGGATTGTAGTTGTGTTATTTGGAATATGCTCCATGCTTCTGAACATAGCCAGATGCATAGAAGTGCTTATGTGATGTCTGCCTGTCTGTCCCTGCCTTCACTCTCTACAACCCATAACTGTCAGGACTCAGGAATAGGGCAACTTTGCAGTCACTCTTCCCTAGCTTGTCTATGCTTGAAGGATGTTTGCCCTTCTTTGATTCAATAGAATCTATGCTAGGCATTATGTTGGGATATGCATTGATTCTATTGAGTTATTTAGTAATTACAGTATTGGAATTTAGTAGACCATGTGGAAGCCACAATGATCTTTTATTAACTTCAATGTCTGTACATGACCAACTGTACGTGCATTGTGGTGAGTTGACAACAAGCAAATATGTTATTGTTAAACACTCCTAGCGTTTTTAAAGGGTATCTGAATGGGTTTATTTGATACTAGTCTTGTTAAAATTATGTCCCACTTTTGTTTTTTTGGGATAGGTTGTGGTGTTGTTTGTAAAGTCAGTATTCTTTGGAATACCCCATATTAAGGCCTTATTGCTTTTGTTTTACAGCATGCCTACCGTGATGGTCGTTTGGAGGAAGTGGTTTTACGGCATCTTGATTCTGAAGATGGAAGTACAGTGATTGCCAAAAATATAAGGTTTCTTCATTTTGCAACCAATTCCCTCTTTTTCACAAGATCTTGTGATACATCTCTTCTGGTCTCTCTCACCTTTTGATTCGATCCACTTCATACTTTATTCAGGCTCTCAGACTTCCTCAGTAATTTGCAAATAAGGTGAAAACTGCTCTAATAATAAGGTATTTTCAGATTTTCAATTTGCTTCACTGCTTTTGACCAACTTCCATGCATACCCTCTCGGAAAAACTTATGGTTAATATTTTGAATGACTATCCCATTGGTCTGGTATCCACAATTTTCAATTGCTATGTTCAGTTCACATCTTCACAAAAATAAAATCAGTTTCTATTAACTTAAAAATAAAGCCACAAGCTTTGTAATTAATGGGTTGTTTGGTAACAGGATGCACGTCTCAAGCAAGTAAAATTTCACCCAGACAGCATGGATATATAACTGGGTTTTTGTAAGGTGTGATTATTCTCTTTCCTTAATTACAATTATCAACAAGCAAAGCGAGTGCTGTTCTTGCAATTGAAATATAATCATGATCTTTAATTGTATTGCTTCTTGTTGCCATATATTTGAAATTGCAATCATTATACTAAAGATTCAAGGTGGACCACTGATACACATATTCATTTTTAGTATATTGAATGTTCATTTTTAATGTACTAAAGATTCAATGAACCTTCAGTATATTAAAAATAAACATTTATCAGTGGTCCAACCATGGAAATTGTGGTGCAAAATCGTATAAAGTTGGGATTGGTTTTTGCAGGAGGTATGGCTGACATAGTCGATCTTGTTTTGAGTGTAACAGATTAAGATATGTTGGATTGGGCATTGGATATGAAGATTGGAAGGTGCATTGCAGTGGGAGTGGGCAATATTTTGTTTCTGAACTCTATTTTACTTGTGATTGGATGCATACACACAACAAATATATATATAATATATGAAATTAGATTTATAGGAGGAGGAGGAGGAGGAGAGGGTTGCTCACTCTGCCAAATAATTCCATGTTAAGTATTGCCCACTGCCTTCCCTGTTGGACTTGTGGGAGGTCAACTCAAGAGTGTTACATGTAACATTGTGATTTTACAAAAAAAAATTCTCTTAAATTTTGGTTAATAACATGAAAAGCTCATAAAGAAATTGGTATATTGCACTGGATCCTCATTTGGTTTTCTGCTCATCTGGAAAATTCAGTCGCTTTATTACTTCAATTTTTTAAAAATCTTTTTGGGGGTTTTCATTGTTTTCGGGTTTCTTCCTGATGTATAAAAAAAAAAAAATAGAGAATTTCTTTATGTGATAAATACTTTTTTTTTTTTTTTTTGTATTTTGTTTCTCTAAAAAATAGAGAACTTTTCTAGTTAATAAATATTCTTACTATTTTTCTTTTTCATGTTCTGTGGGATGTGGTAGATAGCTAATTGTTAATAAATCGAATTGGTTCACCAAAGCGAACCCTAATTGGAAAGATATGATTACGTATACAAAATTTGAAAGTTATTTTTGAATTTTTGAATTAGGATTTACAATGTAAGATGAATTTTGGTTCATGGTATAATTTGCCATAAATACCATTCATAGATGAAAATATTGAATGGATTGTATTCTTTCGCAATTTGAACTGGTCAATTATGATAATCTAGTTTATTTTATTTCCTTGTAACTCTTTGCCGGTTAGGATCACAATGCGTGTTTCACTCCGTGCATTTTCAAGTAATGGATGTGATTTTTTTCAAAAATCAAAAAATGTAAGTCATATTATAAACATAGTGCACTTTCATTTCCTAAATAAAAAAATGTAAGTCACGTTACAAAATACTCCGTAACACAGATTTTACAATGTCTATGTCTTTACTTACAATGCTTTTTTTTTTGTAAAAAAGCAAAATAATAATAATAATAATAATAATAATTATTATTATTATTATTATTATTATTATTAACAAAAATCTTTACTTCTTTTCATTTTTGGAAAGGGGCATGGTAGGCAAAGACATAACTTTTTCTACAATATCAGCTTGACTATCACCCATATTATCCTCATTTCATATTAAATAATAAAATTTTAAAATGTTGCCAATAATAATTGAACTCACGTTTTTTTTTTAAACACTCATGGTTTGCTGTGTCATCACACTATATGATAATTGGCAAAAAAACTCATGTTATTTAGAAGATACTCCGTAATAAACTACAGTTTTAAGCATTCTGCTACATATTGACTAGCAAACTCATAAAGAAAAAAAAATATCAATATAATAGTAATTTTGTATGCTTATGTACCTAAATTAACTCACAAAAATTTCCATTTGAAATTAATTTTAAAGGATAATATATCTAAATTGACAACCAAAATTATATATATAGGGATGCGATCCCATGATAATCAATATCATCCATTAGAAAATAGATTTATGAATGAGATTAATTGAGGAATGGTTTTCCCTTATTGTTCCAAACCACTGAAAATACAAACGCTGCAATTTACAATATTTTCACTTAACGTTTTGGGAATGATTTTTCCAAAACACCCTTGTATTAAAAAAAAAAAAAAAACGTTTAATGTAGAGTCGTTTCGACTTCTTGAATAACAATAGCCAGTTTAGTTGGTTCACTCCAAGCTTAATTTTTTAAATTTGAGCATTGAGCCTCCTTTTATAGGAGTCAAGGTTCCCATGCCACTTTTCCCAACGATGTGGGAAAAGTGGCAAAACTAAGGGGTGTCGAACATTCGGCTCTCCATATGTTTTTTTTTTTTTTTAAATTTATTTCTTTTCGTAAATTATTATTATTATTATTATTATTATTATTATTATTATTATTATTGTTATTATTATTATTATTATTATTATTATTATTATTATTATTATTATTATACACTTTAAGTCATTTTACATGCTAATCTAAACAACTAATTTTTTTTCAAATATCTTTTTACCAATTGCTGATATAATTCGCTGGTCAAATCCGCTAATATAATCCGCTATTTGCTAACTGCTAACACAATCTGCTAACGGTTGATTGCCAAACAAATACATTGCGAGATAGTTTCTCAGTTCAATTTGTTGTGTGATTTGAATTCTCTCTTTGTCAACAAATCCCCCACGTAGTTAATATGATTGACTTAATTATATTTTTTTTTAAAATTTTTTTATGGTATTAATAAAATACTTGGTAAATAAATATATAGCATTATTTTGTATTATAACTTTGATATTTAATTAAAAATAGTGTACAAAAAAAGATAATAGACAATGTAGCGAATATATATAATCAATTGATGAATTTGAATGTAAAGAATGTTTACATTGAAGAACAATAAAGACAATATAACTAATGAAATTATTTCTCTTAATTAATTTATTGATAATGAATAATTTTTTTTGAATAAAGACATTGTAGGGACAATGTAGTGAATATAATCAATTGAATTTGAACGTAACGAATTTTTATATTGGAGAAAAATATAGACAATATAACTAATGAAATTATTTCTCTTATTTAATTTATTGGTAATGAATATATATTTTTTTGAATAAAGACATTGTAGACACATAATTCTAAATTAAAGAAATGCATATGTATTATTTTTTGTTGTAGCCACTAAATTATTTAATTTAATATGAGTGAAATAGAGTATTAATTATGTCAAATTTGATTGGGATGAGGTTCGAACCTAATACATTTCTTATTGAAATCAATGAGTAAGTTAAAATCTGAACCCCAAGTCCCGACAGAGCAGTTACTGGCTTACTGCGCACAAGGATCACACAGTCATCATCATTCTTTCCAACTTTCACCTCTATGACCAGTTGAGCTGCCCATGCGAGTTTCTTTTGGCTCTTATTAGTAAAGTAGATAGTAGATTTAAAGTTTTATCTTTTTTTTTTTTTTAATAAGAGTATATGATGTGAGTAAGTGACATTGGTGAAATGAAAAATCCAAAATAAATATACAAATATTTTTTTGAGTAATATTGACTCTATTACAATGTATAGTAGTAATTATGTTCTATACTTTTTCTATCTGTTGCAGCCCAAAAGGTCACCGAGGTTCGATTTTAAGACTTTCCCTCAAAGAGAATCACAAAAGTGTCATCTAAGCACAAGCTAGATGCTTGGTATTTTACAAATATCTTAGTTTGGTGTTTGGTAAATAAAATTTTAAAATATTCTATTTATGGAAAATAATCCCACAATTTAATGATTTTGTATAATCTTACTAAATAGAATTTCATAGATTATTATGATTCTAATAAATAAATTAAGAGATCGTGAAGTTGGACCTGTCAATTTAATAATATTCAATGAATGAAATATCATAATAATCGATATATGTGTGTTATGAAAATATTCAATGAATGAAATATCATAATAATCGATATATATGTGTTATGAAAATTAAAAATTCAAGACTCAATTGCATTATTTAGCCTGATTCGAGAACTTATTTTAACCATTATCTTAGTAAAAAATAACTTTTTATATAAGAAAATAACAATTTTCTACACAAAATAAATTGATATATGCTTTATTTGTTATCCGTTATCCATTGATTAGCATAATACTCTCTCAAAATCTCACCTAACTACCCTAAATTCACTCCCTCCCCCATAATTTACCACAAAATTTTCTACCATAAATAAATATATGTGGTGGGAAATAATTAATAAATTTCCAAAAATACCCCAACCTCCCCATATATAAACCCTCTTCCCCAGTCATACCACAGGGCAGCAATAAAACACAACAAGAAATAAACACAGAAATAAAACCAAAAAAAAAAAAAAAATCGATTTGCGATCGAAGGTTTTCGGTGATTAATCCAATTTCTCGAGGTTGTTGCCGATCAAGCCTTCACGTACCTACTACAATGGAGATGAAGAAGATCGCCGCCGCCGCCCTTGTCGCCGCCGCCGCCTCCATGAGCGTGGCCATGGCTTCTGAGGCTGCCGCTGCCGCTGCCACCCCTGCTGCCGGCGCCGCCCCTGCTGCCGGTGCACCAGGCCCTGCTGCGGCAGCAAGCGATGCCTTTGCTGCCTTGCCTGCCGTCGGATCCTTGCTCGGGGCTTCTCTCTTCTCCTTCTTCGCCGCCTACATGCACTGAGCTCATCCGCCCGGACGACGCTTTCGAATCAACGAACAAATATTTGACAATGAAAATGGCGGGAAGGGGATTATTACTATAGTATTTTAATTTTAATTTTAATTATTATTTAGTAGTGGACAAAAAAAATCAAAGAAAAATAGAATAAAGGAGCTTGGATTTGATGGAATGTATCTTTTATTTTCTATCATTTTTCTTTGATAATTATTAATTAAAATTATTTACTTTATATTCCAATGTCATTTCAGTGAACTAATTATACTATTGCTTGGTTTTATTTTTATTTTTTTTAACAAATAATTATCACATGCAAAATTAAATGAACAAATTAACATGAGTGAATATTTTACCTTTATTTTTTTTAAATACTGACTCCGTTGCGTTCTAGGATTATGTTATGGGAAAAAAGAGTAATAATCTTCATGAAACTATTTCTTTTGGAAGCTTTTATTTATTTTATTTATATTATTAATTAATTTTGATAATAATTTAAAAAAAAAAAAACAATAATATATGCTTAAGAAGAAAATTCACTGTAAACTTGAAGCTTTGGAAGCTTTCATTCCTTGATCACTTTGAGTCATTCAACTCTTTGTAAAATTTACTTAAATATCTTGATGAGGACAATAATTCTGGAAATCATGATTATTTATGTTGTTACATACAAGTCTCATCAGCTAAAATGGTAATACCTAAAAGGCTAAAATACAGAGGCTAATATCAAGAACATTATTTAAAGACAATTTTTGTTGTTTTGTTTTTTCATTTCATATAAAAACAACGAAGTGATTGAAAGACAATTTGGCATCAAACAGAAATTGGATTTAGACCCCCCAAAAAAAAAAAAAAAAAAAAAAAAAAAATTGGAACAAGCTCTACCTTTCTCCTCTTAGTTTTTTTGAATTAAAATATAAAGCGATTAGACATATTGTGTCCCCTAGTCTCCTCCTATTCACATATATTGCGAAAATAACTACATTAATAACGTACGCTACCTCAGCTGTATACCACATGCCCATATTCCCAACAACTATCATCAAAGCTCATGCCTGCATGCTATGCCCTTCATTCAACATATTTTTCTCCAATCTCACTGACCAAGCAAAACATAATCCGAGGTGCCAAGCGCGTTTATTGGGATTTGGATCCTTCCGTGTTGTCAGAGGGGCGCAAAAGAATGGGGTGGTGAAGAACTAGGCAGCGTTGGAGGTTCCATTTGTTTTCTGTTCTGTCCGAACGTAGGTCATGCTTCGAGGGGTGGTGGAAGGTGGAACTGCATTGTTCGAGGCAGAAGCTTGACTTGGACTTGACTGAGCATCGCGCTTCCATTGCAAGCTCCTTGCACCCGGTTTGATTGTGAGGCCCCGTGCCCTATATGCATTGGGCATGCCTCTGGGGAAAGGGCTCCGGCCAAACCTAGAAGCGGCAAAAGGTACACCTCTCACGATTCGAGGCCATGAGATGGTAGGTGTAGCTTCAGGAGGTGCGGAGCCTTTCCTCACAACCTGCATTTACGGATAAATCAAATCATGAATTTCATTCCTAAGAAAAACAGAGATTTGCTCAAGCAAGACACATAAAATGAAATAATTATTCCAAAGGAAAATTACATTTTTCGTCCCTAAGTTATAGGGTAATTGTAGAATTGATCCCTAAGCTATAATTGACGTTGCAAATTTCGTCCCTTTACTAACAAAACATTAGGTACGAAATTTGCAATGTTGGTATAGCTTAGGGACGAGAAGTGAGCACAACCTGTTATTAAAAGGACGAAATTTGCAACGTCAATTATAGCCTAGGGACGAAAAGTGAGTGAGCACGACCAACAATTAGTGACGAATTCTACAATTATCCTATAACTAAGAGACGAAAAGTGAAATTTTCCCTTGTTCCAAGGCATAGAGTTAATTACACTTGAATAAAGCAGTTCAATGTAACTCCGTCACAAAAATGAAGTTCAACCTAAAAATGACAGTATGGAATAAAAACGCTTGATTTATGTTACTCCACCACAATATGTAGGGGGTCATCAATGCAGACATCATCCAATTATAGGCTAATTTAATTTGTTAAGGCTACATTTTTGAACTCCAAAAATTGTAAATAAAAATAAGGACTAAAAACCAACATCACTCTACCGGTACAACAAGAAACAAGTCATTAGAAAACACACCTTAAGAATACGGGACATGAATGAGGTTCCATCAAGCGATAAAGCATGCTCTGCTGATTCCTTTCTCATGAACTCTACATAAGCTGACCTGTTTCCACTACAAGTTTAGACAACAGTATTTAAAGATGTTAAGAATGTGGTTGAAAAGCACCTCACCCTTTAGGTTGTCCTGTTGCGGCATCAGTTAAAATAACCACTTTAAGCACCTCTCCAAACTTATTGAAATGTCGTGAAAGACTGTCCTTTGTAGCAGCAAAATGGACCTGATATCAAATCAGGGAGAAATTTCATATTAGTAGTGACTAGTGAAGGAAGACAGATGCAAAGCTCATTACTAAAGTTTGAGTAATTACATTGTTGACAAAGATTGTCCGGGAATCAGAATCCTCTGTAGGTGTTCCAGTGGAGTATAAGCCTGCACAAAATACCCAAATAGAAGTAACAGATAAATATACACCTAACAGGGTTATAAGGACAACAATGAACTCAAAACTCACATACACGCTAGACAGCCAGACTCACCAGGAACAGCAGACTGTATCTTTTGGGATTCCACTTTCGTGTCTGAACTGGATTTGACCTGAAACACAATGAGATATATGAACATGTAAAATGTCTGAATCAAAAGCACACAAATCTTATGCTGATCAATAATCATATGCATATATGAAATCACACAAATATCCTACATTTCCATTATCAACAGCTATAGTAGTACTATTCTCTTTCATCAGTTGCATGCCAGACTTGGCTCCCATTGTCTCACTGCTTTGTGTAGATTTATTATAGCCTATCTCCACTGCCTTCCTCGCCTCCTGATATTGAGGTGATTTCCAAGTATTCACATTTAGAGGTCCAGTCATTATTTTACGAGAAGCATAGGGTGTAGATGTAGGCTGATCCTGATCCTTCACTGACTTTAGCATTATTCCATCAGACCTGTTACCCACACTGTGCTCAACCAACGGTGGGTTCACACTGTTATTTCCAACATAAGAATGTTTCTGGAAGGCATCCATAGCACTTCGATCCACAACATTGATGTCACCATAAACCCCATCTTCTAATGCAGGGTCAGAAGCCATCACAGTGTCACTTTGCAATTTTGAAGAATATCGTCCACTATAATCACTTCTCTGATGATAAGTCAAGGGAACTTCTGTTACATCAACAAATTTTTCATCTTCGACATCTTCAGAAATATCTTCCCTCAACTCAAGTTGGCCTTTAGTGTCTAATGTTTCAGTGACACTACCAAGTCTATCAAACACATTAGCTGATGATCTAATTTTTTTCACATCTTTGGCAGCTTCAGCAACAGCTTTAATAGCAGTGGTCATGGCATTTGGCAATCTTGCAACGGACCGTAATCTGTGTGGGCGTTCTTCTGTTAATGATTCCTCCATAGATGTAGAAACCACAGAACGAAGGCGTTTCAGTGATGGTTCAGCAGATGGCCTTGAAGTAGCCACTGCATCACGCACTGCAAATTGCAGCAATCTTCGTGGAGCAGCAATTGTTGCCTGAGAAATTGATTCTCTCTATCAAAAAGAAAGAGACATATATCAAATTAGCAGAGTAAATGGGCAACAAGTCAATCTTTTTTATAACAAAAGAATATTTGCTTGTATGTTTTGTACAGATCGAATGAACAGTAGCATAGTGGCACTACAACAGCAGATCAAAAAATTAAAGCAATAAGGCATTCAAAATAGCATAATGAGTAAAACAGGCAAAATACATGCAGAAGTTAGGTGGTAATACTTAATATCAAAGATATTCATCCTGTCCCTATTACCAAAGAAATCTAGCCCTAAGTGGGCAGATCAGATTGTATTGAATGATAGGAATTATTCAACAGAGAATCCAACTAGTACACCTTAGAGTGTGAAGAAACAGAACACATTTTATGGACATTGTATGGATCCAAATAACAATCCACTCTGGCACACAACATGAAATTCAACAATCCTCCCTATAGCAGAACGGTTGCTCTTTTCCCTCACACATATCAAGGATAGATGTTGCAATTTAAGTACACCCAAATATAAGGTACTTTGGACCATGTACCATAGTACTAAAATAATGTGATAATGCTCATTTTATGAAGGAAAAAAATTAATTTTGAAAGAATTGCCACAATATTAAAAAAAAATAGAAAAGCAATTAAATTTGCGTGAAGAATATGATTCTAACAGAAGCTAACTGAGCTTAAACTCCAATCAGTTTTTTTTTTCAGTAGAGTTCACATATTTGAATTGAAAAAAAAAAAAATAAGGTAGATATGAATAGACAAAATAAAGTTTTAAAAAATAATAAATAAATAAATATTAAACTCAAAGCCCAGATACATCAGTTGGCTGACTTCTTACTCTACTGTATATACTAACGTAGCAATAAGGCCATAATATGCCATATTATGATTTGGGAAGTAGTTTCTAAACTGAGAATTGATCTACATCTCCATAAATATACCTTCTTTGTTGGCCCATCTACAGGTCTACTTCTTTTCCTGTGAGCTTCTGGCTTGGGAGATATAGACTGTGTTGTCCGAGCAAGTTTATGCTGACTTTCCACCTGTGGGCGAGTAGTATCCACCACAACACCCTGCAGAGTTGGGTGTTCATCTGCATCTCTCAGCAGGCCTTTCCATTCCCTTTTATGGCGGGATCTTGGTCTGTCAGATTTCACTTGGTCAGATTCAGACTTCACATGGTGGATTTCATTCTTCACAGTATGCTCCACACTGGCAGGTCTTTCTTTGACCACTCCATCAAGAGGGGCTTCTTGTTGTTGCATGTACAGGTTTAAATTTGAACTAAGATGATCCCACAGCCTTTAACAAGATAATAAAACCAGCAATGAGAATATAGTATTCAATAAGCAAGCACTGAAAATTACAATCTAAAAAATGTAAATCAAATTACCAAGAGACAAAGGAGTCGCTGTCATCACCAAGGAAAACATCCAATTCACTCTTTGCTTCTTCTTTATTCCTCCCATTTTTGAGCAAGACTATGACATATTCCTGCAAATGCATAAAATCATTACAAGGCCTCCACAACTAATGCCACCCTCGTCTGGAAGTCTGGAACATATCTAATATCCTACATGCAAAAACTTTCTCAAAATTGACCTTCTGAAGTTCCACAATGATAGCACTTCTCGATTCAAACCAGCCAAGTAGATAAATGGGTAATGTCATATCAAGTCAAGTTTCTATGTAATCAAATATCTCAAATTTTGTAACTATAAATTGGTTATTTGGTCTATATTGTGCAATAAACAGGTTGGCATGTAATCCAAGTGGAGTTCAACTCAGCAACAGATCATCTTCAACCTATTACTATTTACAATTTCCTGACCATGTGCTTAGATTCAATAGAAGTTTTAGATCTAAATGACTTGGATACACACACACATAATACACATAGAGACAGGATTCAGTGTGAGTATCCTACTTCCAATATAAGGATTACTAAACCTTATACCAATTTAGTAAGACACCCATGACCCATCAACTTTTGAGCAATATCCTTTTCCTTCTCCAAACGTGTATTCATATATTCCTTATATCTGATTCAAGTTCTTCATTCTTTCCATTTTCATCACAGTACTAGATATTTCAATAGTTAAGGTTCACACTTGTGAGGTGTAGATATCATGTGTTACAGCTTTACTATTACTTCATTGATATCTTAGGTTGAAAAGGATAAAAATAGTTTCTGGCAGGCTTTAGTCAGTAACATCAAATGGTCAATGTCATAAAATAACCTAGGTAACTATCAAGCCAATGTACTTGATGCGTTAATCACAATTCTTCTCCCCAGTCCATGCCAGGAAAAATTCATTCACTAATTACTAAATGTCAGTAACATCAAATGGTCAATGTCATAAAATAACCTAGGTAACTATCAAGCCAATGTACTTGATGCGTTAATCACAATTCTTATCCCAAAGTGCATGCCAGGAACAAATTCATTCACTAATTACTAAATGTCAGTAACATCAAATGGTCAAAGTCATAAGGGGATAAAAGGAAGCTCAAACAGCAAAGAGCAGACTATTGTTTGCTTTCTTCTAATCTTTCCAAGTTTCCAGAAGTAACATTCAGATCAGGCAATAGCATCTAGACCACATTCCAACTTAAGAATTAATATAAGATTAGAAAGTTCACTCACTCAGGCCTCACTTAGGTTCTAATTTCAAATTAAATTAAGTTGTGTATTCAGACAACCTGGTAGACAAAATTGCCTCTGATAAAATCAGGGAATTCATGAGAAGACAAATTATTCACATGGTTAGAAGAGTTCACTTGATTGTTATGCCATTAATAAAGAAAAAAATCTTATTAGCTCTCTATGATTTTAGAAATCCCAAAATTAGAACAGTTCATCGCATGAAAAAAAGAGAATCCAGCATCATTACTGTGAGGCCCACATAGTTCCATATGGAACCCCCAATACAAATTATATATTTCCCATTGTAGTGGAAGTCCGAACCTGTTACTACAGTTGCATGATTCAAGTACAAGCAGATTTTACCAATCAAATAGAACTACAAATAGCAGTATGGTGCAACAATATAGCACAATGTTGAAGCTACCAGTTGATAAAGAAAAGAGATAAACTCATTCTATCTTATGCTGCCTCCAGTGATGTGGCACTAAAGAGAAACTAAATGCATCTAGACTGAACCCCATGCATTTACAGAACACATATTAAATTCAATAAACTGAAACTGATAAAAACAGCAAAGAAATGAAACTGGGTAAAAGGTTCCAGTTTGACTCAGATTCCAGGCAATGTCACATTCCACATTAAAATGCTGCAAAATACAATCTCCAACAGACTCAACTAAACCCCAATACTAAATAATTACAGGCGTGACAGCACTCTCCACTCCCACGATTCTCCCAACTTTCAAATTTCTGCAAAAATTGTCAAACAAACCCTAGAGAAAATCATTCATCGATAGCGTACCACGAGTGTATCGTCGGTGTAGTCCCCCATGAACTCCTTAAGCTTCTCCTGCACTTGCCCCCGCAGCTTTGCCAATCCTTCGCCGGTGAAGCTCACCCTAAACGTCCGATCATCTCCGCTCCCCATCCGTCCCCCCTAATCCCAAACCTAATTTTACCTCAAACGCTTCCTGCACTTGTGTTCAATCAAAATCAAATTGGTCCACCAAAGCGAACCCTAATTGGAAAGATATGAATACGTATACAGAATTATATACTTGGCCAGTGACGAGTAACTATGAGATTTTCTCTGATGCGTAAACTTCAATAATATGAATACTGCCTTCTTTTCTATCCCCGCAGCAAGAATTATAAAAACTCACCAATTTTAAAAATAGAAATGAAAATATGAAAAGACTCATAAACCCCCCATGACAATCCTAATTTGAAATTAAAATACTATTATATTCGGATGGGGCATTGATGAAATGACGTTAGTTCTTTATGCTTAACTAGATGTCTTATGTTCGAGTTCTTGGAATGCAACTATAATAAAATTTATGATAGGGTGTTTTGCCACCCTTTATGTCATACCTAACACGAATATGATTCATATCGGTATGATTGATAGTTGACTAATTGAGAACACTTGTTATTAGACCAAAAGTGATAGGGTTATAGGGCAATTCACTTGCCCTGTGGAGCTCACTAGTGTATTTTCTGACTTCACTAGTGTATTTTCCGACCTCACTAGTTCATTTCCCGACCTTAAAATTACATGTCTACCTCCCGGTCTCATTATTAGTAGACTTTTCAGTCTCAAAGCACCCCTCACGTGTTAAATTTCTAATGACACTTGTCAAGCATAACCTCACAATTGAATCCACCTAGGACACATGGATGGTATGCGGAGGCACCCGACATGTGTCCCCTCTTCCCCTCCATATATAGGACACTTATTGCACATTTAAGGCGGACTTTTAGCTCCCAACTTACACCACTCCACTCAGAGCCTCCCAGCCTTATATGGTTGGACCTCTAATTAATTTTCCGAGCACATTTATCATTTCAGTTAGCTTCCGCCTGACCATATCAATTTACTTTCTAATTTTATAGTTACATGCAATTCAACCTGAAATAATTTAATTACCTATCAAAAAGTAATAATATTACATTATGATAAAGTTAAACTTCTAGACTAAATTTATGTGTTGTTATATTTTCTTAATTTAAAACTTTTTTTATCAATAAAGATGGAGAGACTCGAAAATGACAACAATTAAATGTCACAGTTAGACACAAATATCTATTCAATGAGTCCCATGATATATTCCCACAATTTTGGATGAAGAGGCCAATTGAAAAAACAAGCAACTTCATAGAATAAATTCAGTGGCTTTGCCCCGAAAGATGTGACGGGGTGGTGAAGCATGATTTTCATATTAGAAAAGTTGTAAACTTGATTATATTAATCTCTTCTCACTCTAGTAGATGGAGCATGATTTGTACATCATGTACAACTTAGAGAGTGTGATTGAGTGGAATGGACTCATCTATCTTTAACCAAAGGTTAAGGGTTTGATCCTTTAACCTTAAATTTCATGTCAGTTTTGGGTACAACAAAAAAAAAAAAAAAAAAACTACAAATTTTTCTCATTACCCAATCGATAAATAACATTTTCCATTTATTTATGCATTATTAACTTAATTTGTTCTTAAAAAATATATAAAATAGAATTTATAAATTCAACTAATATATATATATATATATATATATATATATATATATATATATGTATATATATATATACACACGATAAAGTACAACTATAACATAAAGTTCAATTTGAAATTTATGATTATCAAGTCAACTGTTTGACCAACTCAAAAAAGAATTGTCCCTAATCAAAGACTAATTTACAAGAACACTTCCTTACCGGACTGAGAGAGTAACTTTTTACTCTACGAACCAATTCGCTGCCTGATTTTATCCTCCACATATGAAAAAACAGCTCTCTTATTCCTCCCTACAAAAGATGGTAGGCCCAAATATTTCCCAAAATTGGGTGCTTGCACCACCCCCAAACAATTCGCTACCTGTGTCCTGTGAGCTTCCTGGGTATTTATGCTAAAACATATATTAGATTTATTATAATTGACCACCTGGCCTGACAATTTCTCATACCTCGCAAGGCACTGCCTTATAACTTCTGCCTCCTGGATATTTGCTTTAAAAAATACGAGACTCATACCTGGGATCCGCATATTTTGTCTGATTTATTTCTTCCTGAAGATGTGGAGCGAATAAATATGATCCATGTTAGTCCTGAGTATGAGGACTCATGGTATTGGGTGAGTGACCCAAAGGGGACATATACAGTAAAGAATGCCTACAGTCGTATTGTGGGTGATTATGAGAATAATCCAGCGAATTTTGATAAATGGGTAGCAGTGTGGAAAATAAAAGTCCCCCCTAAATGGAAAACCTTCTTGTGGAGAGCCATATGTGACATTTTACCAACAACCCTTAATTTGATATTTAAAAGGGTAGAGGTGGAACCAACTTGCCCGATGTGTGGTTTAGATCATGAGGATGTGTTGCATGCTTTAGTGCTCTGTGAATATTCTAGACTTGTTTGGAATATAACACAATTGCCTATTATTAATATTATTGCAGGCTCGTTTACAACATGGCTAAAAGGGGCTATGGCGGCCTTGACGGAGGAGCAGACCCGGTTAATGGTAGCAGTGTTATATTATATTTGGAGACCCGGAATTCAGCTGTCTGGAAGGGATCAATGATGCGGCCTACCCAATTGGTCAGAGCAGCCACCGTAGCACTACACGCATACGGCACTGCCCATGCCCACCGAACCGAACCCGCACCGGCGACGGACCACTTGAACGGTCCAGGGGAGGATGGTCTACGGTGTTATGTGGACGCGGGTTTCCGGCACGACACGGGCGAAGCAACTTACGGCATGATAATTATAGCGCCAGATGGCTCGTTTGTGGTAGCGAGGAATGGCAAGTCACCGATTTGTTTTTCACCACTTATGGCGGAGGCCCAGGCATACAAGGAGGCTTTGTCTTGGCTGCTTGAACGGGGCAACACATCAGTAAGTATACTCACGGATTGTATGGAGTTGACGACGATTATCAGGCATCATCATACGCCAATCCATTCGTACGTTGGGGTCACAGTTGACCAGTGCAGAACATTTATGTTATTATTTAATCGTATTACTTTGGATTACATCTCTAGGCAGATTAATTTACATGCGCATACTTTAGCTACATTAGCATTTACTCAGGATCAAGATATGTACTGGGATGCTATCCCACCTGACGCTATTTCAGCTTTGATTCATTAATACAATCGCAAGATTGACCTTCAAAAAAAAAAAAAAAGACTAATTTACAAGCACTTCATATTGTTATCAATGCGACTAGTTTAGCACTGAAAAGAATAAGATTACTTTTTATTTAGATGACAATGAAAATTGGGTAAATTTTATGTGCAATAGATTGTAAATCACATTATTCTAAACTTGCTTTTTTTTTTTTTTTTTTTTGATATATCAAACAAACAAAAGTAGTTAACAATTTAGAATGGTAAGTCACCCGTCATCACACTACATAATAGTTGACATACGAATTTTGTTATATTTAATTATGACATATGAGATAATGCTTATTTGATTAACTCATAAAAGGTTATAATTTTAATTAGTTTATTCATGTAGTAAAAGTTGGACAGATATTATTCCAAATCCATATGGAACTTGATATGTAATAAATAAGTGGATGAGGATCAAATAGATCATTCAACTATAGATCAAAATGTAATTAATCTCTTAAATTAACAAAAGTTTCAATTAGACCCTTCATCTTTTCACTTTTATGCAATTAAATTAATTAACAGGTTACATTTAAGTCATAAGTAAATTTCTTTTCTTTTCTATTTTAATTTTAAAAATTAATTAAAATACAAAATATTTTTAATTTAAATAAATTAATAATTTTTTTTAAAAAAAAAAGTCCGGCGACCGACTGACTTCTCCGTCCAACTAGATGAAAAAGTCCACCTGGCTTCTTCGTCCAACTTTTCAGGTTTTTTTTTTGTTTGTAAATTCTTTTTTTTTTTTTTAAATCAATTTTACCTACTATTACCTTGTGTTTACCTGCAAATTGAGCTAATTGCACAAATTTAAAAGGTTATGGATTTAATTACATACAAGTGAAGAGATGAACGTCCTAAATGCCTAATTGGAGCTTTTGTTAATTTATGGAGCTAATTGTATTTTGGCTTATAGTTTAAGGGCCTATTTGACTATAAGCCAAATAATAATAATAATAATAATAATAATAATAATAACAATAATAACAATAATAACAATAATAATAATGATAATAATAATAATAATAATAATAATAATAATAATAATAATAATAATAATATACTATATATAAAAACAAAATCCTTCATTTTAACTTCCCGCCCAAAAGACTCCTACACTATTAAGCTTTCATGGGCTCCGAGGTTGGTTCAACATTAGAATTGTTTATAATTTCATCTTTAATTTTATTATCTAAATATATAATAAAAAATTTTATTCGTGCATCGCACGCACATCGCACGTGTATCTTAATGCCTGAATACTAAAACATAAAAAATATCCATTCATTATTATGCTATGAACTGTGGGCACCAACATCATAAGAACATATTGACTAAAAATATACTCACTACGCCCTAATATTGCCACCTCCAAAGGATATGCGCAAGCAGTCCAACCATGAGGACCTCTTACTATGGCAAGAAAGGCAACAAAAATGACGATATTGTATGGATACCTCATTATGTTGTTCTCGGCATCACCGACTCGTCTCAAAACTATTGTCAAACTAAGCTACAATGTAAGAAATTAAATATATATATTAATATATTAATTTTAATTTCTATGACGACACATTTTGAAATTAATTCAATATAATGAGTAATATATATAGAATAATATTTAAAATAATGAAATACCTGACAAAGTGACAAAGTCAGGCAAGATAGCACGGTCATCCTCCTTTTCCCAAAACGCAGGATGAGGTAAAAAGAAAAAAATAAATGTAATAACAAGTACAAGTGTGGCCCCTACTAGAAAAGAAAGAAATGGCAGGAGCCTACCCCTATGGATTCAAAGGAAAAAGGGACCAAGACTAGTGGCCCTAACCATATAAGCGGGGGAAACATAGCGGAAGCAATCCTATCTCACAAGACAGATCAATGTGAGCGCATCAACACAATGAAAGGTCTATATGGCTCACTAGTGTGTCATGTATTAATTCTACCAAGCAAAATTGATGGCAAAAGA